CCTTACTGAGCAATTCCAACTAATTCCTGTAGATAGGAAGGGATGGCAGGATTAGAATGTTTGCTTGTGGGGAGGGGTCTCAAAATAGCTTCACAATAGAAAGAAACTGGCTGTCGTTACATGAAACCCAGCAATGGATTTCACAGTAACTGTAGGAGAGTTTGATGTGTTATACCCTCTGTGTGATCATGGTGTTAGAGACAAAAGTGATGTTTATTCTGTTTTAGTTGCTTTTCTAATGCTGTGATAAGACACCATGACCATGGTAACTTATAAAACAGTTTAATTGGAGGTACATAGTTCCATAGGATTAGAGTCCATGACTATCATGTCTGGGAGTATGGCAGCAGGCAGGCAGGCAGGCAGGCATGGCATGGAAGTGCTATCTGAGAGCATACATCTTGACCTCCAAGCACAGTACAAGACAACTAACAGTAAATGGTGTGGGCTTTCCCCACCTCTAGTGACACACTTCCTCAATAGCCACACCTTGTCATCTCTCCTAAACACTTCCACCAACTGGGGACCACATATTCAAACAGATGAGCTTCTGGGGACTATTGTTATTCAGATTTGCCACAAGAATCTTTGCTTTGAACAACTTTACTGAGATAGTATTCACTTATTACCCAATTTGCCTAATTAAAGTATAAAATTTGATGGCTGTTAGCCTATATACAGAGTTGGCACCATGACTGATGTCTGAAGACTCTTTACATCTTACCAAGTACTCAACCCCTAGCCAAAGCTCCACCTCCCTCCATCTTGCCAACCTCCCAACCCTTGATAACGTCTTATTTACTCTCTCTCCATAGATCTATAAATTCTAAATATTCGACATAAATAAGATCAGGCAGTATGTAGTCTTTGGTGTCTGGATCTTTTTTGCTCACTCACTTGCTTTCCAGGATAACCCATACTGTAACATGTATTGTAACTCCATTTCTTTGTCGGACACGTGTACGTGTTTGCACCTATGACCATGGAAGCACCAGATGCTACCTTGCCAACCTCTAGTGTCATTCTTGAAGTGCCAGGCAACGTGGATGTTGTTCTTGTTGTTGTTTTTGTCAGTTTGATGAGACAAAGGTCCTCCCTTGGCCTGGAATGTGCCAGTTCTTCTGGCTGGCTGGCCAGTCAGGCCTAGGGATCTACCTGTCTCCACCTTCCAAGTGTTGGGGTCGTAACCATGTGTCACCATGCAGAACTTATTTTTAAAGCTGGTCTGCAAAGTAGCAGATTTCCTTATGTCATTCTCCTATGTACTTCCTTTTGATCGCCCCTCACTCCTGTCCAGGCTTCTCCCATCCCCCTACTCCTCATCCCTGTTTGAATTCTTTCTGCAGCATTCCTCTTGCAATTCTATGGTCCCCAGCACTCTCCCTGGAAGCGTCTTTCTTCTCCTTTCATGAATCCCTGTTTAGTTTCCTGGGTTCTATACACACCTGTCCCTACACAAATATAAATACAAAGAAAATAGAAACTAGGATCTGCATACGAAAAAGAACCAGCACTACTTTCTGAGCATGAGTTCCCTCACTTAATATAGTATTTCCTTATCCATTTCCCTGCTGAGTTAGTAATTTTTTAAGGGCTTAGTGAAATTTACAGTATATATGGATCCCACCTGCACTCACCAAGTGATGGAAATCTAGGTTGATTTCAACTTTGGTCCTCATGCTTACTCGGCCACCCATTCACTGACTTGTTTCTCTAGCTTTTCATTTTTCTGTATTGCTGAAGAACGGTCTACTTAATAGTGTCTTAATTGGGGTTTTTATTGCTGTGAAGAGACACTGCGACCGCGGCAAGTGTTATAAATGAGAGCATTTAATGGTGGTGACTGGCTTACGGTTTCAGAGGTTTAGCCCATTATCAAGACAGGAAGTACAGCAGCACAGCCGCAGACATGGTGCTGGAGCTGAGAGTGCTACATCTTGCAAGGAAGAGGAAATCAACTGAGACACTCGGCAGTATCCTGAGCACAGGAAACCTCAAAGTCTGTCCCCTACAGTGACACGCTTCCTCCAACAAGGTCATACCCACTCCGACAGAGGCACACCTCTTAATAGTGTCACTCCCTTATGAGATTATGAGAAAATTACATTCAAACTTTCACAAATGGTTACATAGTATTTAATTGATACACTCATGGTGGTCACTTGGGTTGCTTTCCTCGTTGTTTTTGTGTGTGTGTGTGTGTGTGTGTGTGTGTGTGTGTGTGTGTGTTTCGAATCATGCTGCTGAGAGTATTTATGTGAAGTGTTGGAGTGCCTGTCTTCAATTATTCTAGGAACATCCCAATAGATGGGATTGCTGGCTCATACAGTAACTCTGTGCACGAAGCTGAAGGAACATTAAGACTGTTTCCCAAAGCAAATGAACCTTTTTCCATACCTCACAGCTGTATAGCAGGACTCCATTTGTTCCCCATTCTCACCAACATTTGAGATTGACTGTCTTTTTGATGAATGCCACCCTACTGGGTGGCTTAGTAGTCATTTTGGTTTGGTTTTTTTTTTTTGAGACATATATAATCAGGTCTTTCATGAATGTATTTTCATGGTTTTTAAAAGAGCTTATTTTTAGAGAAGTTTTATATCCAAACCAAAATGAAGTAAAAAGGTAGACTCTCACACTACATAGCTCCACTCTACATGCAGCCCGCGCATGTCTGTGGTACAGCATGTTAGAGTAGATGTTAGAATCCACTCCCGATGCTCTACCATCTGTGGATTTAATACATGTACAAAGATACATACCCTCTGTAAGAAATAGTTTCCGCACCCTAAACAAACAAACAAAAAAATCCTCTGTTCATCCATCTTTCCTTTCCTTAAAACCACAGGCAGATACTGATTTCTCTCTTAGTGGATTTAGAGTTTTGTCATTTTCAGATTGTCCAGCAGTTGCAGATTGGCGATATTCACTTGGTTACAAGCATTTGCGTTTCCTTCATGACTAATTTTTCAATACAGTTCATCATGTATGCTATGCTGATCATCGTCTCACTATGTAGCCAAACCAGACAGTGAAAGTTCGAATCCTCTTGCCTCCATCTCTCGAGTGTTGGGATTATAGGTATGCCTTACCATGCCCTGTTTGTGGGATGCTGGGGAGAGAACTCAGTGATTCAAGCTTGCCAGAAAAGAACTCCACCAAGTCAGCTGCATCTTCAACCCTATTCTCCCTGTCCTGTCATGGCTTGATGAGATGATCTATTTCCTTTTATTCACAGATGGTACTCCATCACCTGGACATCTCGTAATTTACCTAACCTTTTACCTACTGAAGACTTAGATGTTTCTGAGTTTTAACAAGTAGAAACAAAACTTCTTTAAAAATCCATGTGTAGGTTCCTTTGCCTACTTTTAAACTGACTTCTCTTTCCGCTACTGAGTTGTGGTCATTTTTCCATACCATATTCTCGATATAAATCCTCATGAAATACTGAACTGGCAAACATTTTCTATCACTCTCTGAGCTCCCTTGTGCTTTCTTGATGCTATCTTTTGAAGATCTTTATTTCAGTTTTGATGTCCAGCTCATACATTTTTACAGTGGCAGCTGCTTATAATTGTCATGTCATATCAAAGAAACCTTAGCTAGAGCCACAGTCATGAAGACTTGTGCAGTTCTTCTTCCAAGGGTTTTATAATTTCACCTCTTCCTTTGAGGTCTTTTATCTATTTGGGATGAGTGTGTGTGGTTTGATGGTCTTATTCTTTTTACAGATACTAACTAAAGAATAGAAGAACTAGATGAACATCTGAAGCAGCTAGAAAAAAATATAGCAACAACGTTAACAGTTCCAACACCTATATGTGGTGGAGAGATTTTAAAACTCCACTGAAATTTTTGTCTTAAGCAGTAAGTAAAAAGTAAACATGTAGAAATTAAAATAAGAAAAGTACTGGACTGTTGTAATGGACCCCAAATGAAAACGTCACTAATAGAGGAATAAGGTTTAACCCACTTTAGGATATACAGGGGGTATGGAAGGGTGTGTGCAAATGCTCATATGTGATGTACACATATGTGTACAGACGGGAGCTTAAGGTGTCCTGGTCTGTCGCTTCCTCTTTCTCCCCTTGAGAACCTGAACCTGGTTCTAACTGAACCTGGAGCTTGCCTGGCAGCCAACAAGATCCAGAGCTACTCTTGTCTCCACTGACCTAACTCCCAGAACTGGGTAGCAGGCATGTGGTTACATTAGGCTTTTACCTGGCCTTTATCTGGGGTGTTGAGGATCTAAACTCATGTCTTCAAGCATACTCAGAGAACTCTCTTACCAGCTGGACCACCTTCTGAGGCCTCCACTATAGGTTATTTTGAAAAGTAATTGTAGATACACTTCAGTGCTTTATAGTAGTCTCTATATTACTTGCTAAGAGAATGGTCTTGATAGGGGTCCTTGGCTTTGAGGGTTCTTAGAAACCATAGCTGAAAGGCAGCAGCTACTAGCATCCCTGGCTCCCTGGCACTTCAGGCGTTGCAAAGTCACATTCCAAATTGCAATGTATAATTTGTAGGTATAAAATATACACCAGAGTTTGAGGGATTGCTACCAACAAGACAATGAACTTCCCATTAATCCCTACTTGCTGATTATGTGTTGGAGTAATACTAGTTTGAATATTTTGTATTAAATAATATGCAGTATTAAAATGATACACCACTTTCTTTGTGCTATTTTCAAAATATGAATTATCTATGAAACTTGCAACATATGCGCTTGGGGTAACAGAGAAAAAGAATGTGCTGGGACACTCACATTCTGATTCCTTTGCTACTTTTGAATAGCCATACAACTTTGAGATATTTATTCTATACGTTAGTCCTAGATAAGAAATAAATTCATTCGGCTAACATGTAGAAAGCTCACTACATGAAAAGAAATCAGAAATATGAATTAGAAAATACAAGATATAAACCTGTCCCCAAGTTTGAACCTTCCTTTCCCCACTTCACTCCTCTTTATTCATAAGTGAAGTCACATATTAACAACGAGAATTCTTACCATTTTATTTTTTCCCACGAATATATCAATCTTAAAATGCTGAACATTGTGCAATATGGGTACGGACTGAAAGTTCATATGCACAGAGAATTTGGTCTTTGCTTCCTCTGAATTTAAACAGTGAGCCAAGGCTGTTCTTTTCTAGATTCCATCTTCCCACTGAGCAATGAAACTCCCTGAGACGGAACTTCGTAAGACATAGTGTGCAACTCTCTTCATTCATCCATGGCACATTGACTCTGATCTTGACCGTGTGACTTGCTTTGGGCAGCAGGGTACTAGAAAGCAAGGTACAAGCAAAGTGTTAGTGTTTGTTCGTCAGGCTTTTCTCATTCTTAACTAATTTGTTAGGAGAGTACAAGCTGAATCTCATTACGTTTCAGTTCATGTATTTATTTATCATTGAGGTTTGTCTTTTTGGGAGATTCTTTTCTGGAACTCTCAAGGTACATTGTGGGGGAGCCTGAATGACACCAGAAAATGTCTGTATGGAGGAGGAAAGAGCCAGGGTCATTTTGCCCAGCCAGGAGATAGTTAATTGAGCCTAGAGACACTTTTGGTTGTCACAACAGGTGGAGAGGGGCTACTGATTTCTCATGGGTTGAGTCCAGGGCAGGATGCTTCTGAGTATCCTATAAATTGAGGAGAGCCCCACAACAAAGAATCATCCAGTCCATCAGTTGTGCTGAACTTGAGAGACAGTTGTAGATGACGGTTTTCCACAATCTGTCTCCTGTGGATCAAAGACAAAGGTGCTTGGGAGAGAAAGTGTTCATCCGAAATCTATAGCTGCTTTCTTAAGCTTGTATATTTCTCAGTGATGGCTTAGTGCAAGCCTGCTTCTTAGGATGATTTTTGCTGGCTCCCATTAGGATCCTCATCAACTGTAAGTACAGTTTGCCCCTTGTACACTCAACACTCAAAGTCTCTCAACAAGCATTTTCCTTACCATGCCAACACAAAGATTTCATCTCATGCTACTATCAAGGTCGCAATTTAATCTTAGCTTTCAGAATCTCATCTAGAATTAACCTGGAGATTAGGAACGTTAAAATATTATTTTATGTTCCATCGGCTTTGTTATCAAAGAATCCCAGGACCCACACTGAGCAGAAACTTCTTTCCCCCTAATAAAAGCATGTATATACTTAGAGAAATGTCATGATTAATAAATTTCATCTATGAGACAAATATTTTAGGACAGAAAAAAATTACAGTAACATTACTGCTAGTGAATTTTATTAGATGAGTTTAAGCATAATTATGTTAGCAGATTCATTCAATAAAATTTTTAGACATATGGTTGGGTATGAGTATAAATCTCATCTCTAAGGTAATTTATTATGCAAATTTAATTATGGGATACAGTCATATGCCACTTACCATGCGGTATGTTTTGAGAAATACAGCATGAGGTGAATTCATGCTCCTGTAAGGATTGTAGAGTGTACATAAATGAACCAAGACAGTTGTAACGTCATTAAACAATATATTCTCGATGGTGTGGTTTGTCATCTGAATCTTTATGCAACACATGACTGGGTGTAGCTGAAAACCCACTGGAGGTAGATTGTTGTTGCTGCAGTTGTTTTTGAGGCAAAGTCTCACTATGTAGCAGAGGCTGGCCAGGGATTCTTGATCCCCATCTCAACCTCCCTACTGATGAGATTATTTACATAATCATCTCCTTGGCTTTTAAAAAAAATCATTAGTAAGATTGCCATTTTTACTATGTTAATTCTACCTACCCAAGAGCATGGGAGATCTTTTCCCTTTCTGGTGTCTTCTTCAATTTCTTTCTTCAACATCATACAAGTCTTCCACTTGTTTGGTTAGAGTTACTCCGAGATATAAATAGCATAAAATGCTATTTGTGGCTATTGTGAAGGGTGATGTTTCTCTGATTTCTTGCTCAGCCCATTTATCATCTGTGTAAAGGAGGGCTATTGATCTTTTGAGTTACTACATTACTGAAAGTGTTTATAAGTTGTAAAAGTTTCTTGATATAATTTTTGGGGGTCACTTATGTAAACTATCATATCATCAGCAAATAGTGAGAGTTTGACTTCCTCTTTTCTGATTTATAGCCCGTTGATCTCCTTTTGTTGTCTTACTGCTCTAGCTAGGACCTCAAGAACTATATGGAATAGATATGAAGAGAGTGGGCAACCTTGTCTTCTTCCTGATTTCAGTTGAAACCCCAGGAAAACTCTTCATAGACCTCAAAAGAATGGTACACAACTTCATATGGAAAAGAAAAAAAAACAGGTTAGCCAAAATAATCCTGTACAATGAAAGAACTTCTGGAAGCTATAGTACTGAAAACAGCCTGGTATTGGCATAAAAACAGACAGGAGGACCAATGGAAATTAATCAAAGACCCACATATCAATGCACAAATCTACAAACACTTGATTTTTGACAAAGAAGCAAAGAGTATAAAATGGAGAAAAGAAAGCATATTCAACAAATGGTGCTGGCATAACTGGATATCAATATGTAGAATAATTAAAATAGACCCATATCTATCACCATGCACAAAACTCAAGTCCAAATGGATCAAAGACCTCAACATAAAGCCAGCCACACTGCACCTTATAGAAGAGAAAGTGGGAAGTACACTTGAACGCATTGGCACATGATACCACTTCCTAAATAGAACCCCAGTAGCACAGACACTGAGAGAAACAATTAATAAATGGTACCTCCTGAAACTGAAAAGCTTCTGTAAAGCAAAGGACATGGTCAACAAGACAAAACAATAGCCTACAGAATGGGAGAAGATCTTCGCCAACCCCACATCGGACAGAGGGCTGATCTCAAAAATATACAAAGAACTCAAGAAATTGACCATCAAAAGAACAAATAATTCAATAAAAAATGGTATACAGACATAAACAGAGAACTCTCAACAGAGGAATCTAAAATGGCTGAAAGACACTTAAGGAAATGCTCAACATCCTTAGTCATCAGAGAAATTCAAATCAAAATAACTCTGAGATTCCATCTTACACCTGTAAGAATGACCAAGATCAAAAACACTGCTGACAACTTATGCTGGAGAGGTTGTGGGGAAAAGTGAACACTCCTCCATTGCTGGTGGGAGTGCAAGCTGATACAGTCCCTTTAGATGTCAGTCTGGTGATTTCTCAGAAAATTAGGAAACAACCTTCCTCAACATACAGCAATATCACTTTGGGGTATATATCCAAAGGATGCTCAATTGTGCCACAAGGATATGTGATCAACTATGTTCATAGCAGCTTTGTTTGTCATAGCCAGAACCTGGAAACAATGTCAATGCCCCTCAACTGGAGAATGGATAAGAAAAACGTGGTACATTTACACAATGAAGTACTACACAGCAAAAAATAATAACAATAATAATGACAGTTTGAAACTTGCAGGCAAATGGATGAATCTAGAAAACATATTGAGTGAGGTAACCCAGATCCAGAAAGACAAATATAATACTCACTCATAAGTGGCTTTTAGACATAAAGCAAAGGAAGCCAGCCTACAAATCACAATCCCAGAGAACTTAGACAACACTAAGGACCCTAAGAGAGACTTACATGGATCTAATCTGCATGGAAAGTAGAAAAAGACAAGATCTCCTCAGTAAATTGGGAGTATGGGGACCATGAGATAGGGTCGAAGGGGAGGGGAGAGAAAGGGAGGGGAGCAGAGAAAAAATGTATAGCTTAATAAAATCAATGAAAATATAAAGTAAGAAAAATCTCATTAGGACATATACACCTGTGTAAGGAGAATGAAAGGGGGCAGAAATGCAACTGGAATGGTGCTTTGGAAAACGTTTTGATAATCAGTTCACTGGAGTTTGAAAAGAAACCCTTTGGTAAATCCAATTTGCTTGTGTTTAGGGCAGTGACAAACAGGGTTCCACTAGACCAAGCTGACCTTGAACTCACAGAGCTCCACCCATATCTGCCTCTGGAGTGCTGAGATTAAAGGCTTCCATCACCCACCACGGTCGACATCCAATTTGCAAAGTGCAAGGAACGATCCAAATGAAAAAAAGCCCAAGGATATGAACAATCTCTCCCTAATCCCAGTAACATAGGAAGTAGCTTTAGAGCGGGTTAGAATTCAGCTGCAAGTGGCCTTGGCTGTGGATGGCAAGCCGATTCTTGGTGGACATTAGAGGAGCCCAACCAGAGATGGACAATTTTAATCTGTCTCTGAAGGCTTTTAGAAAATGGTCACTAGGATCTCCAGTGTCCCCGCTCCTCCATGAGCTCAGGCTAAATCTCCTTTCCTGATATTTCGCTTGTGCACATTGTTTGGCTCCGATACTGCATTAACTTCCTCAGAAAAGCTGAGGTCCAGGATCAGGGGAAGCAGAGGTATCCTGGAGGAGGCAGGCTCAAGAGAATCAAAGAGAAGGTGTTGTGAAGGAAGTCAGAGGACCAGCATATCTACATAAAAGTGATGACTGCGAGCCCATTGGGTAGAGTCAATGGGTCACCTGAAAACAAGGCACTTAGCTTAGGGCTCAAATGGTGGCTCACATCAATGGCTCCTTTAAGGAGCATCACACCTAACTTATTAAGAACTAGACGCTAAAGTTTCCAGGCTTTGTGGACCACGAGGCAAAGGAAACGATATTGCGTAGACATTTATGTAATAAGGAAGGAAACGAGTTTTCAGCTATTATTGAAAAATCGAAACCAAAATATGCATATCTAAATTAATGAGAGAAAAGGAATTATCGCTGGTGGGAAAACCTTTTTGCAAGTCCAGCTTCAGAAGTAGTGTGTACCATCATATAAAGTGAAACATGCTTCACTCTCGGGTGCAAATGCAGGTCGCTCTGTGGGTCTCTCTCACGTGGACGCTGGGTGTACTTGAACTCCAACTATCACCCCGGGGTTCTGAGTTTCCGGGTTGAAAGGTGGCTCTTGATGTGAGGCACCCCATGGCCCCTTCCTGCAGTCGCTGGTTCTATGTGCCCACTTCTTCTGGTTTTTTGACCTCCCCACTTAAAGGCAAATCAGAGAGGTTAAGTGTGAAGCATCGACCTTCCCGACGGAGCGACCGCACCTAGGTGTTTCTGGACCACCCAGAGCTTCACGACCTGCTGCCCAGACTGCCTGGGCAGAAGCCACTTCCCAGCACCCTCCAGCGACTAGTCCGTTGCTCCTCCTCTCTTTCTGGCTCCTCCCTCATCTCCTCTCCTCCCCTAGGTCCCGCCGCGTTTTCCCGCTCCACCAGCAGCCGTGGGCACCGCAGCAGCAACAGCGGCAACGGCAAGTAGCAGCAACAGCGGCAGCGGCAAGTAGCAGCAACAGCGGCAGCGGCAAGTAGCAGCAGCAGCGGCAGCGGCAAGTAGCGGCAAGAGCGGCAGCGGCAGAAGCAGGGGCAGCAGCAGTAGCAGTCTGTGTCGCTGTTGCTTTCTCCTTCACAGAGTGCCCCTCACCCCCGAAGCGTCACTATGCCCAACATCGTGCTCTTCAGCGGCAGCTCTCACCAGGACCTGTCGCAGCGCGTGGCCGATCGCCTGGGCCTGGAACTGGGCAAGGTGGTCACCAAGAAGTTCAGCAACCAGGAGACCAGGTGGGAGTTACACCAGGGCTGAGGCAGGAGCCAACGCGTGCCCGGGCCACCTCCGAGGGCGCTGTGCTCTCCCTTCCGGGGCGGGACGGCAGCAACGCGGCTTCAGAGCCACCGCGTCTGCGCCCGGGGAGAAAGAAGCCCAGCAAGAGAGCCCCCCCCAACCCCTCACACACACCCCGCCACCCTGGAGTCTCTGCGCACTGTTGTCCCTCTAGTGGCCAGACCTCCAGCACCGGACTTTGGCGACCAGTCGTCCCCTGGCACCCCAGGCCCCTCTTTTGCGCCGCCTAGCCTGGTGTTCTCAGTCCGGAAGGGCGACATCGGTGCAGTCACAGAGCGTCTGAGAGTGGGCGCAGCTTGTGGGCATCACATCAGTGCCAGGAATGGTGGGGGCAGGGAGACATCTGTGGATCCGCCCGCCCTAGTTTCCGAGTCTCTGCCAGGCGGCACCCCAGACTAGAGCGTGGTCGAGAAGGTTCTGCACGGGTCCCGGGCGCTGGGTTTACCTGGGGAACTTTCGAAGGCTTCTTCCAGCGGCTGGCGATCAGAGTGCTGCCAGCTGCTCAGGTGACTCTTCCGAGTAGCCTAGGTGTTGAGCCCTGTCTTATTCAGAAGGGTGGGTTTGTGTGGGAGTTGGAAAGAACCTGGGGACATAGGACGCACGTGTTGAAAGCCCCTGGGCTTTCTTTAACTTTGCTTCAAGGAATGTCGCGAACTAATCGGTTCTTTGTGTTTATGGAACTCAGCTGCGCACAGCCGCAAGACCTCAGTTTGGCAAAAATTCCACCCCTTTCTCACGTGAGCAAGAGGTGGTCACCAGTCAGTATTCAGTGCAATCAGGCAGACGGTAGCCCTCTTCCGAAGTTCAACTGGGGGCTCCTTGTTCCACTTGCCCGAGGCCAATTTCTTTTCCTCCTTCTGTTTAGTCCAGTTAACCAACTATTCAGTGACAGGTAACCCATTGTACATTTGGCAAGGTTGCATTTCATCCAACAAGTTTACGGAAAAATCATATAGAGAAAGACCATTCTCCGTATTTACACAAAGTAACTTGAAATGGATCGTAGACAGAAATGTCAAATCTAGTACTTTGAAATTTTGAGAAGAAAGCAGAAAATCTTGACGACTTTGAGTCAATCGAGAATTTTTGAAGTTAAGGGCTTTTTTTCCCCTTTTTGTTGTTTTGTTTTGGTTTTCTGAGACAGGATTAGTCTATGGTAT